GTTTTTGTGTGCGCGAGTGCGTTTGCGTGCGATTTGTATTGTCAATTTGTGCCCCTGTCTGTGGGTGTTGCTTTGTGTGGATGTTTGGGGGGAGGGTGCGTTCGTGTTTGTCACTCAATGTGAACGTTCGTGAGTCAGTGCGTGTGAGAAAGTGTGTTTGTGTGTGTGTGCGTATACAAGCACGTCTGTACTCGACTTTTGTCGACAATGTTTGTGAGCCTTGTGTGTATGTATGTGTGTTTGTGCGTGCGTTCTATATATCTTAAAAGTTTGTAACACTTGTTGTGCATCATTCTGTATAATTAATAATTTTTTTCTGTATGACATTGGTATTTCACATTATTCGTCTTTACCTTTCATTACGAATTGATTGATTGACCAACCTTTGGATTTCTTTAAAATTGGCTTCTACACAGTGAAACTTCTTTTTTTGAGATTGATGCTGATAAATTCTACAGTACTGAATTCTTTTGAGATTATTGAATTGTGAAAAATTCTAACGATAAATTCACGGAACGATAGCACGTGTAAACAAAGTGTAGCATGTTGATATTGGAGTTATGGAACGATTTTCTTTTCAATTCAATGTAAAGAAATAATACAAAACCGTATTTTGCGCCATTTTCATAAACATCACGCTAATTAAATCGTTAACAATTTCCATTCCTCTCTTTACAAATGAAATAACTTTAAATATTATAAATATATATAATGAAGAAAAACGTTTCAGTAAAATTGAGGTTGGAAATTTTTGTCTCTCATTCTTTTGGCATTGTAACTAGTATCAAATTGTATATAATCTTGCATTTAAAGGTATACAACTTAGATTTAACCAGGTGTTATTACCAATTATTGAAATATATATTTGTCGAGAAAGAGGTTCCTTTCAATTTTTCTTGAACTTTAAACGAGTAACAACGCAGGAACAACTCAAAAAACACAAATTTTACATTATGACCACCATTTTCATTACACCATATTATAATTTGAAACAAAATAATTTAAAAAATTCTCAGAATTTTGCATAATTGTTACTCCTTTTAGGTTGTTATTTAAAATAAAATGAAGTTACAATTGCATTACTGCAACATTTTTAGGCAAAAGTTTGAACTATCGACAGTTTCAACAGTGTGGCCGTATTGTCACGCTAGGCAGATAAGTGTTAAACTACTTTATAATAAAAAATATTAAGGGAACTTGTACGAATCATTTTACATATGTTAACTTCATAATCCATCAATGTTTAACAGCATGCTACATGAATGCAATAAGTCAACAACATTAAATACGTTTATCTCAAAGTTTTATTTTTTGATATGTGATTGTAATTCACTCCGTGAATGATCAAGACCTTTGAAAGTCTGAATTTGAGGAAACAGGTGGCAGGTTAATAGGCAAGTTCATTCAAATGTTTGTGTGGGGAGGCTTCAGGAAGGCTGGTGTCTTGCCGTTCGTAAGCAGCTTAGGGCATCCGCGAGAGTGAAATGCACTCACAGCCTCTGGAAGGGGGGACAAGTTCGCTTCGTGTTAGAAAGTCAAGCAATGAGGTCTGACAGCAAACTAGTTGACAAACTTCCACTTTCGATAGGGACTCTCAGAGTTTTATTTGAACCTGATCAGTTAAATTACTTGTTTGAGTTCATGGGCGTTACCCTAAGTAGGTTAACAGAAAAATCAGTAAAATTTAAAAGCTTTTTTCTCTGTTTGATTTTAGCTCTATAAAAACTATTTGCGAAGCATTACGTGTTTAATTTAGATTGAACCTTTATTAAATGGAGTACATTGCATTGTAAAAGTATGCCTGCAGAGTAATTACAATGTAGTTTGCAAACATACAGCGCACTTATATTCAAAATTATATTTCCATTTTACTTAATTTTTCTAATACTATCCGACTGAGCCTAAACTTCTAATCACACTTCAATAAGAAAATGAGTGAGAACATCATGCACCAACATTCTAGAATACCCACTGTGTTAAATAAAGTTCTACTCATATGCGATTATGACCCACGTAGTAAAGAGTTGACAATTTTATAAAACAGAACAAAGAAATACTCCTATGACACTAATCAGCCACAGTTTTCAACCAGTTCTTTTAAAATAAATGGAATATCAATTGGTATTACAATATTTGAGACGACGAATATTAAATGGCGTGATGTGGTTATTACTTTCTATTTTCCATACTGTAGTTCAAAATTCGCTGGCGAAATATATGGGTTGGGGGTCGACTCATCTTCTCAGTCATTTATGTGAACTCCTCTGATCGATTCCAGGTGAAAACACTTCAATAGCTGAAAAATGCCCAAACCGCACGCGATCCTACGTCCCCATCATACCTCTAGTTTCATCATAATTTTGGACAATAAATCCCTTTCCCATGATCTCAAACACTTACGCAACACTTCGAATACGACAATGTTAAACCAGCGCGTAACCTCGGCTATATTATTTCAATTCACTTACATCCCGGTGATTTTAATTTTCTTTATGCCACTCTTTAGAATTTCGTATCAAGGATTTTGGTCCTTTAGGCTCGTTTATAAATCTGGGTCTCCAGAGTCCGAAATCCAGCACTGTTCTTCGCGTGTCCCCAGCTGGCCGTCAGCAAATGGCGGTCATTTGCTTGCTCCGCTCGTGACGTCAGCGGGCCTTGGCAATCGCGGCTGCGGCTGCGGCAGCGCCTGATCTCTGGCCCGGCAGCCCCGCCCCGCCCCGCCCCTCCCTGGTCCTGCCCCGCCCGCCCCGCCCCACCCGCGCCCGCCCTGCCCGCCGCCCCGCCCAGCCCGCCTCACCTCCGCCTCTCCTCATCTCGCCTCACGCCCACCTCCACGCGCCCCGCCCCGCTCCGCCCCACCCCGCCCGCCTCCTCGCCCCGCTCCCGCCCCGCTTCGTCCCTCCCCGCCCCGCCCGTCTCGCCCCCACTGCCAGAGCCGGTTTCACCGCCGTATCCGCGGCAACCCCGCGTCCCTCCTTCCGCCTTCTCGCGCAGCTCCGGATCGTTCGCCTGCCCCCCCCTCTCCGCTCCTCTCCGTCTCACGCGCTCCATTCTGTCCGCGCCACTCGCTCAATTCTACTCTTCCTTCGTTCCAGTCACCCCTTCCCCTCGCCCCCCCCCCAGCCATTCACGCTCCTCACACCTGTCAGCCCACGTCTCACAACCCACTCCACTACACTCTGTCCCGTGACGCTCCACTCACCCGTGACGCTCCACTCCACCCCTGCTTCTCTCAGTCCGCCCACATCCCACCATCCTCACGCGCTCGCGATCCTGCTCTGCCCGCCCCGCCTTCACGCCACCCACCGCCCACCCAAGTCATGCTCCGCTCTGCACGCCCCGCTCTGCACGTCTCGCTCCGCCAAGCCCCCCCCCACGCCCACACCCCGTCCCTACTCTGAACCACCACGCCCACTCGTCGTCCCTATTCTGAACCACCCACCCCGCCGCGACCACAGCTTCCGTGGCGGCCCAGCCCCGAGAGTTCAGGCGCTTTCATCGCTCACCAGCGCCTGCATTTGTCTGTGTGGGCGCTGACAGGGCCGGGCAGTGAGCGCGGGGGGCGGGGGAAGGGTCGAGGGAAAGGGCGGGTGGGACGGAGAGGGAGGTTGTGGTGGACGAAGGAACTCTGGCGGGCAGGGTATGAGGGGAAAGCAAAGCATTTAGTGTTGGAGGATTGGTCCACCAATTGTTTTTGGGCCTGTCACGGTCTTTGCAAGTCACTCTCCAGCGATTTCGTCTCTTTTCTTTAGGCGAGTGCACTTCCAATGTCTCATCAACTCGCTTATCATTCTTATTAAGCATATGTATGTTTTTCTCAGCATTTGATAGTCAAACTAATTATTCTCCTCACGCGTTTAGGTCATGGTAGCTGTGTCCTCGTATCTTTAATTCGTAAACAAGAGATGCGCAAATGTTTTGCGTATTCTGTTTACTTCCTGATAAGCTAGGCACACATAACTCGGCTGCTTATATGCAAGGAATAGGAAGAGCCTGCCCGGAGGGGTCCCCGTATAATTCGTCTTTCTCTACACTAAAGCCGATCACGCCCGAGCGCCTGCCCTCGTCATCCGTTTGGCTGACTGAACAACAAACGGTCAGCCCGGCAGGTTGGGAGGCTGAGGTGAACTGAGCGGGCCGGGGCGGGAATGAGAAACGCGGGGTTTCCGCGGGACGGGTGAAACGGCGCCGGGCGGAGCGGGGTAGTTAGGTGCAAGGAGCTATCTGATGGGATAAAATCCTTGCGAGCGGACGTAGATGGGCGTCAGATTTCGCCATTCAGAAGAGAAAAATCACCACCAACTCCCGCGATAAAAAAGCACAACATATTCGTGACTAATGACCTTAGCAGATGACATGCCGGGAATCATTAATCAATCAATTTTCTCTCACAGTCCTTTGGAATTGTCCATCACATTTCTGAGGAACGGGTTCTAGCAGTTATGTTGTTTGAAGTGAGTGAGGTCTAATGACAGGGGTATATTTTTCAACAACAATTACATCAGGTGCAAGAGTTGTTCTGTGCCGCTTTCTATCCAGTTGCCAACGTAGATCGCGCGCAGATACGCGGGGCAAGGTATTGTGGGGCCTTGCGATGGAGTGCAAGAATTGGACTTCGCATGCAGGAGAAGTGCCTACCGCTTTCAGGTCGTTGGGTTCACGGAGAGAAGGTCTAACACTCAGTCGATCCAATGCAACGTGAGATTTATTGCGCAGTAGGTGTAATGATGCAAAAAGTGTACGTGAGAGACGGTCCAATAAAGCAAGAAGACTAAAATTAGAAGGTCCAATTAACACAGGCCTAATTAGTGTGTATCGAAAGTCTAATAACTGTGCACAGAAGATCTAATAGGTATATCAGGTCGAACTCAGAGTTTCAGAAAATGATCGTCCCTCATCGTGCCTACAGGATGAACTATTTGGATCACCTAAAACGGGATCAGAGAGATATCAAAGCTCAGGTCTGTGCGAGCACATCATCCAGTTAGAAAGTCGTATCAATGCTTCTAGCAATGACAAGTAAGCATGGTCGCAAATTAACAATTTATAAAGTCCGTAGGGACGTCAAAAGTGCCCGTGATATTTGAGCTGCAGATCAATTCCAAGCTTCGCCACTGGTTATTTGAACTGTTTTTTTATTATTATATACGTAATGTACTTGGTGAATAAAAGCTTATCCGTGCATATTGAGATTTCAAGAATTGATTAGTGGTTTTCGAGCGCGTCAACTGCTAAGCTTATTACTCCTAAAAGTGTAGTGCATGTTGTTTCGCGGAAGGAGATAGAGGTCCCACCATCAGAACATCACCCCAGCCGGGACAAGCACTAAGCTCCCCAATGGTTTCCCGGTATGTGAGGTAGTGCAATGCAAGTTCATACACGAAAATGCGTGCAAGAGATTTGGTTAGAATCAGGAAGATAAAAGAAATAATGCGCGCAGGGTTTGGCTCGTTTATTAGGGTACTATCGCGGTATACACCTGGTGTTGATCATTGAAAACTTTCGATCAGAGCAGTCGGCCTCTAGAATTCGTCTCCATGAGCGACCGAATTCGACTAAAAGCTATCGAAAGCTATCTGCCTCCGTCGGGACTACAACCTAGGACATCCCGGTCAGGCACAGCAATGACATCAACAGATGCCCTAAGCCACCTCTCCCGGTGTTATGATCCAGGCATCACGTGTATCTTTCCAAGTCATTCCCCAACTTTGATAAATCAGCGGCAACTTTTTGGTCTCAGCAATATCGTTGACCTGGAGGTCCTCGGGTTCTATGCAGATTGTGGAGGATTTCAAACTAACTGCAAAGCTCTATCGAATTAATCTACTGACTAGAAGAGTAATGTAGAGGCTGGCCTCATGGATAGCTAGGTTTTCGTGAATTTCTTTGTTCAATACCAGACACTCTAGTCTGATCTGTCCCCAATTGCGGGGCCAAAATGTCACGTGGTCTTCCCTTCCTCTTCCTTTTCCTGTCCTTAAACCTTACTTTAGGCGGTCAGGGGGATGAGCAGGCTTAATAGCCTGAACCTCGCCATCAAGAAAGACTTTTATTTATTTATTTATTTATTTATTTACTTACTATGAACATTAGAAGTGCGCTATACTTTTTAGCGTCTTAACGGTATCCGAGGAAAAGGTTTAATAAAACATTTTAGAGCAATTTTTGAGAAAATTGGTAATTGTAATTGAGACTTCATGCAAAGTACCCCTCAAAATCTAAATATCCGTTTCAAAGTCAGCGCCTCGAGTTCCTATATTTGATCGGGCAATATCAATTTTGGAGAAAATCAGCCGAGCAGTTTAGCCTCTAGCGCTGACCGCGGACGGAGGGACACCCACATTGATGGACGAATTGCTGGCGGCTGAGCAGACTGTCGGACTGTCATATTGCAGCATGAATATCCTGATTCAGGTTCAAAATATTTATTTTTCACCTTCGAATAATTGTATCACCCAGACCCTTTTTTTCATAAATGTATATGTTGTCATCTGAATGAAAAAGGGAATCCTAAAGCTGAAATATGAGGTGACACTATTTAATATATAATTATGGTGTAAAATCTCAGGTCAAAATTCGAAATGCTTGGTTTATATTTTTATCAGGCTCTGGTAATATTCAGATACATATTCTCCATTGTCCAGTGTGGCCACACTTTGGTTTTTCTTTAGATTTGTATTTTATGTTAATTTTTAGGCATGAAATCTGAATAAGGTTCTTCAAAATCATGAAATAATTTTCTTGTCTAAAATATGAGCTTTACATCTTTGGTAACGGTTGGAACTTATTCAGTATTCAATTACGAGTCTATCCATGGTATTTGTTTAATTTATAAGACACTATTCATATTTTATGTTGAATTTTAGGGGTGATTATTATAACTTAAATTACCAACTATTAATTTATATTTTGTAATTAAATTATAAGCTTTGTGTGTCTCCTAGTTTGTTAAAAATGTTTAATAACCAATGTTAAATCATTGTATACCCCAGATTTTGTTTGCAACACTAACTATTTTCCTGATTTATGTTAAAACTGAAAAAATTTTGTATCATGATTTTAATAGGCTTAATTCAAATACTCGCTCACAGGGGGCGGGGCTGTCGCCTCCATGATCGATAGGTTTCTTTATTCAATTGTCAGTCTGTAAACCACGCAATCTCCTGCAGATCAGTGGTGTGACACTAGAGAGGGCACATCTGGTCTTTATTCTAATTCCATACGGTAGCCAATCAGAGTTCAGAGCGACACCAAATAACATCTGTACAACACCAACTCGCTCAAGCGGAGAATATTGAACTACTTATTCATTTTGTTCATTCATTCCTCTCAGGGCCCGGCAACTCTCCATCAAATTGGGACAAAACTTGAGGTTGCTACTATAGGTTGTGCTAGTGTCGCCAGATACAGCTACTGGTAAGTCGCCAATTTCCCATATAAAAATTGGTCAAGAATAGGAGTACACTTTGATTATGAGACGATTTCTGACATAAATTACAAAAGAAGTGAAATACTATGTGTTTATCTTCTAAAATTCATTTATTCTAAAATTAATACACGCATGAAAGAAAAGGTAACGCGAGACAGCGGCGTGAATTTCATGTATCAAGCGCGTGTGTTTGCGTCCGAGAACCCACGCACGTTTTTACAATAAGGTTGGTAACAATTCGTATTTTAGGTTTTCGTGGTAAAGAATGTGATGCTCTAGAGCGCGTTACTGTAATGGTCCCCACCCCGTAATATGGGAGTTATAGGGCCCTGTTCCTATCGTTGTACATTCACATGCTGTTCGTAGGACTGTTAACGCCTTATCGCAGTCAGTGAATTAGAAAAATGAAGTGATTTACTGCTGTTTGAAGTCTGAAGCGTGCATTTAGGCTTCGAGAAGATGCTGGATGCCTAACAAATAGTGAAATTTTTTTAATGTTCATTTGCAGATCCCTTGTTTGGACCAAGCGAGGTGACACCCACTACAGCAATGGGTGTAATTGGTAAGACGTTTTTAATATAATATTACTAGAATATAGTTTTAATAGAATATATTTTTAGTTTTAGTAGAATATATAGTTTGATGGGATGCTATGTTACCAGCATTTTTTAATTTTGAGATCCTTGTACACAGGCAGCTTTTCAAACTGAAAATGGTAAGTCTCTAGTATGTTTGCAAAATGCAAAAAGGAGCATGCTATTAAAAGCATAATGTATTGGTATTTGTTGTTGATTAATACAGGTTCTAGTGCTGTTGAACATGCTGCTACAGCTATGCAGCAGATGCTTATTCTAGCCATGTAAAAGTAAATATTTGCTATAATCTTTAAGAATATCAATTATTACTTTGTTTCATTTATTGAAGATGGGATAGATTTCAAGTTTGTCTCCATTTTCAGATCTTTTTCACCCATGTGAGGTGTCACCTCAAGTTTTTAGTGGACGTTTCTTATGGTGTTCTTTCAATGTACAATTTAGTTGCAATTGAGGGTAAATTAGAATAAATAAAAAACTATTTTTTTGGTGATTACAGATCCTTGTACTTCTGGACAGTGCAAGAAGCCATTCTGGGAGATGAATCTGCCGCCTTCGGTGTGGTAAGTGCAAGATATTCCTCTGCTTTCTAATTTTTGCTAAGTAATTGTAGATGGTGAATTAAAAAAAAACCTCTTTATTTTTGATTCAGATTTGTTTTCAGAACATTCATTTGAGGACATAGTATCTTTCTTAATGGCATTTTTTGCTTTTTAGATCCTCTTCCAGAGATGGCTTCTGAAGCATGCATATTAGAACCTACAAGTTTGACCCTAAGTGGTTTTAAATTAAGGTTCACTTTGAGGAGTCAGAATTCATAGACATAATTTTAAAGAATTATTGTTATGTGCAGGGAATGACTTGCTTCATTGTGCAGAAAGTTTCTGAACATATCTCTTTTACGCCGATAGTTTGTAATGGTACAACAACGAAGTTTTAAAATCAGGGTGTATTCTGTCATTGGATACAAATCCATTATATAAACTGTATTTCCCACATCTGATTTGGAAAGTTCTAATTAAATAAAATTTAAAGATAAAATTAATTCTGTAAAGCATGATCATTTTCTCAATTTTGGAATGCCTCTTGCTATGGTAAGACACTTTATTTGAATATTATGAATACAAAAGTTATGAGTTTCTGTTTCAGAGGCTATTTTCATGCAATTTTAGAATTTCTTTAATGCTTATTATCTAGTCTATAATTTTTTTCCTTATTAGTATTAATTTTTATTATTAGTATTGATATAAATTTATTGATATTAGTGTTGATATAAGTGCTTATGTATTGTTATACTGTTCTGATAATAATTGTTTCTCATGACAAACACAATCTTGATTCAATTTATGTTCTACTGTATGTGTATCATTGTGTTGTGTTCATCCTCATGCCAATTACATTCTGTATTTGAATGCTGATTCTTATTGGACTGTGAATTGTTATGAGTCGTGAATGCAATGCTTGATTCTATAGCTCAGTTTTTAGGACATCTGCCCAGTTATCAGAAGGTCCCAGGCTTGGCTCTTGGTGCAATCAAATATTTGCACTTTGACAATCCGTTTTCAGAATTAAATTGTAGTGCATAAGCATTGATGGAATTCCACTATTTTTAAATCATTTGTCACTATTTGTAAAAGTGAATGTAGTTTCACAGTGAATCCCATTTTAAAAAAGCCAGGCTCTGAATTGTGCATGTGTGAGATAAGCATAGGTAAATAAAATAATTTTGTCAAATATTTATTGACTAATGAAAAACATTTTTAGATTGCAACTGGTAAAAGCGGTTCTTTCAAGGCATGAAGAGCATGCTAAATGCTCAATTTTTTGCACTATTGCTGAAAGTGGGACAATGCTCAAGTCTTCTGATAAAACTTTGAAAGCAACAAAGAAAACAAAATACGTTCATGTGACATAATCAGATACTATTGATCTTAATGTATCAGTACATACTTATGTAATTCGTGTTCTTAATGGCTTAAGTAATTCAAAAAATAAAATGGCACTTTTACTCCTTGTATCATAACTATTTGTTTTACCTAGGCAAATGTGCGGTAGTATTTTCATTTGTTTCTTTTCGATTCTGTTCTTATTGTTCATTCATAATGCTAGTAATAATGTAGTATTCCATAGTATTAATTTGGCATATCTACAAGCAAATACTAAAGTTGCAATTATGCAGGTGTACTGTTTATTACTTTCTGTAATTCAAAGTTGTTATTACTAATGAAATTACGAAACTGTATAATATCAATATGCTCAATAAATACTAGATTTTACTACCCTAATTTGACTTTTTTCTTCCATAAAATACTTATAATTATTATTGTGAATTTTTTAATAAAATAAGGTGTAAGTATGGGGAGTGAAATGTTAAAGTTCCCGCGTTGCTGGTTTATTTCAAATTTACCGGTTACTTCTTCGCTATTGGCTGCCCGTTTACCCAATAGACATTATACAGAGCAATGTGGCGGCACCAGAAGTTGGGCAAATAAAGCTTTAACTTTTAACATTGAGTGCTGTCTCTGAAATATACTCTTTGCTGCAGATTACGTTGGGAGAAAAAATATTCCGCTGTAGAAATTAGACTACGGCGGAGGGATATTTATTTTGAATTTACTCTAAAGTATAAACGAGCGCATCATTTGCTCCATGTGTGCTGATAGTTTACACGCCCGTAGCCCTCAACCACGATAAATATTTTGTATTTACCATAATAGGCACCTTTAGTTTTAAGTTCTCGCCGTGGCTTACTGCCACGTTAAAAATCCAAACATTGGCATATCTATGAAATTAATTTTAATTGTGTATAGGAGACCTTCTTAAAATTGTACCAAATAATTAATTGTGATCTGCTTCACTTGGATTCGCTTGTGAATTTCGCATGTTCATATTGTATAATTGTAATTTCTTTTGTTCCTGAATTGTGAGATGTTCCCGATTCTAAAGGGCTCGGTCTTAACTTGTTGCCATCCCTCTAATGTTCATTGTGTTATATTACAGAGTGTTGCATAAATTATTGCTTGCTAGCGACCGTAAGACCGGGGCTCCTGCTCCAAGTCTTCGGCCTAGCAAAGCGTTCTACTGGAACAACTGGTGTTTCTGCAAGCGTGTTTGCAACTTTCACACACGGGTATATGTGGCGTAGTCCCAATTTTCGCTAACTGCGCTTCCTCACGGCCGGAGCGACAGAAGAGGTGTTGCGCCTTGAGAAAGCGCTGCGGCCCATATAAATTAGTTACGAGGCCATGAGTGGCCCGTGTCAGGAAAGACGATTGATAGTAAGGCAAACGCATATTGGTTTATATTGTAAGAGCGCAATCCTAGCAGATATTTTTTTGATATTGATATATTTTTGATTTGGTACAATGGTCTATTGTGTGGAATTATTGCGAGAACAAATGCCTTGAAATACTGTATTGGTATTCAATTATTTTTAGTCAATTTATTGACTTTATTTTTGAATTGTTAAGTTGTAATTGTGCCAGGGAAAACACAGTATAGCATGTAACTATTTTTTATTATTTTCAGAAAGTCCGCAAAAACGCGACTTTGTCAATTTTGTATTTGCGCCCTCTGCGCTGTAATGCTGTATAAATTTTGATATTGTTGGTATTCTGAGCTGATCCAGATTTCGGAAGATCATCCATTTTGTGAGATTTATTCGCAAAGAATTGTATTTCTGAATCATTGTTGAATTTTGTATACGCCGGTAGAGCCGTCCCGGTCCGCTCATCTCCTCAGGAGGATTTGGTTAGCAAATTGTAATTGCTTATTTATTTTCAGGACATCGGGGATCTGGATTGTTAGTGATTTTTAATATTTGTATTTCTCCTTTCCCCGTGTGCTGAATAAATTGTAATTTTGTATTGAAAGTTTCATAACTTTTTCCCTACTGCGGAAAGTGTGCCTTCGCGACTGACCCATTGGTCCGATTCCTGCTTCCTATTTATTTCAGGTATCTATACTTCGGAAACGATCCACGCTCACGTCGCTAAAGGTTCTGTGTTGGCCTGTGTGCGGCTGGCGACGCGAGTTACAGACATTTCTTTGCCTTTTTCCGGCTGGTGACTGTGAAATCTATATGTTTAGTTTGTTTAAAGTACAAATTCGCCACTGTTCACAACACGGACACCCGGCAGATGGTCCGCCAATAAACATGGCCTTTTTTGTCGTCAATATACTTTTCGGTATCGATAACATGCCTTACGACTTGACAACGTGATAGACGAAGTTGAACTTTTCGTCTGTACTATATATTGGAACAAGGTTTAAACGCTTTTTCGTTACCGGGGCGCGATAAAACATTTTCTACCGGAAATTTGCCGGTTTCGGCGCTCGAAAGTAAGAGAGATAATTTAAAAATAAAGAGTGGGAAACGGTAAAATTAAGGATGTGCGGAATGGAATGAGAAATGTCAATTGCCTCTACTCCCTCTATCGCGTTGGCGTTGGCGCGAGCGAAGGGAGGGGATGAAGCCCATCGACTGCGACAGGAGAGACTCGGATTAATGAAGGAGCTCCCAAGGAATCCCAGGAGGTCGCCCGTACTCACCCCGACCAGCCCCGCTGCGCCCCGCTCCGCCCCGCTCCGCCCCGCGCTGCGGCAGGGCAGGCGCAAATCCCTACTTCCTGTTCCGTTCCCTCGAGGGGGGCAATAAAGCGCAGGGAGACAAGTTGACTCCGGCATGAAGAATCTCAAGTGGCTTAGCCACCAGCTCGTACGGAAAATGCACTAGGAGGTGAAAGTTCTCTTCGTCGCCGAATAGAAGGGAGGTTTTGGAATATTTTTATTTACTGGGTGCTTAAGGCAACCCGAGAGAAATTTTGAGATGATAAACTTTCTTAAATAATGAATTAAAATTTTAAATGTTTGAAAATTTCAAAACAAAATTTAATTAAGGTTTTTTTCCTTTTAAATTTTCATTTAATAGATTCTTATATAAAAATCGTTATTGTTTGAAAACTTTTCTTAAAAAACATGATTGGAAAAAGTTGTTTATTTTTTATTTTTCACTGAAAGTGCTGACTTTGTAAAGCTAGGTACAAAGAACGAGAAAATTGGCCGAACGGTTTAGGCAATAGTGTCAACCATAGACGGAACATGGATTCTGGCTACACCACGTGTTAGGGGAAGTAATTTACTATTTACTGAAAGAGGATTTCTCCTCTTTTTCCCTAACTGGGCCTGACAAAAGGAGTTTTAAGAGAAAAGTAAAAACAAGTACATTTTAATATTTTACACTGCTGCTTCAGAAATATCTCAAAGTGATGTTTTCAAATTATTCCTGTTTCATTCCTTCGCTTTTCACTGTCCCAGACATTGTAAAATCAACGTTTTGTGTTTCAAAGTAAACTGATCTTAAAACAATTTTAATATACTAGTAAGAGTTTAAACATGGTTAACTAACCACTCTTGTAAATTAAAACTTTCATCAAAACTTTCTAGAAAATTGTAATAGAAATGTTTTCTATATTAAATAAATAGATATATTCCAATACAATTTAAAGACGTCTTATTTGCAACATAAGGATTTAAAAATCCAAAAGAAGTCAAATACTTTTGCCAACTCATTTCGTTCTTATTAATTTATTAT